ACATTACAAAATTAATACCAATTTTAAATCACACGATGAGCTATACCAGTAACACATATAAAATTATACATTCCCAACACATGAGTCACCATACTACATGTACAACTCACATAACAAATAACAAAATTACCACACAACTAACACACATGTCAAGTCACTACAGAACTAACACACATGTCAAGTCACTACAGAACTAAAACACATGTCGAGTCACTACACTATTAACACACATGTCGAGTCACTACACTTTTAATATATATTACAACTAACAGTATTAAATCACACACAATGAGTTATACCAGTAACACATATAAAATTATACGTTACCAACACATGAGTCAACATACAACATGTACAACTCACATTACAAACTAGAGGTACTGTGAGCACTGAGCTCACTAAATGATGCCCCCGCCTCCGATATGATTATAATGGCAAAGTCCGTGTTTTGCTCTGGGAGACCCGAAATAAGTGACAGATCAAAAAGTAATATAGGAGGTGCACAATGACACTATGTAATAAAAGATAGGGGGGGGGGGGAGGGGCGAGGGGCTAGGGATAAAGGCTACTACATGTATATAACACCGGACATATTTCATTAAAAACATATACATGTATATGTACCTGGACATCATAAATAACTGTTTAGAATAGTGAACGAGGTATAAATGTTTTATAAAATACAAAATATTATAAATGTATTTTCGAAAAATTTTAGTCATATCTAGCTGCAGATCTATAGCTCTCCACTGGTCTGAAAAAAATTGAATGGTTGTCATATTGACAAAATGAGAAAATCTGGGAATAAAAGGGGAAAATTGATCACTGATTCCAATTTCACTCTCTAAATGACATTCATGTAAATACAAAATTTTATTTTTGGGATACGATAGAATGTTAGTGGGACCTAGGTTATAAACATTAAGCATTATAAGTTAATTGTACACAGTAAGCATGGATTTTTAGATTCAAAAATGAGATGATATAGATTTATAAAAAAAAAAAAAAAAAAAAAAAAAAAAAAAAAAAAAAAAAAACAGAAAAATTGTCGTTGAATTAAAGGGTGCTTACTAGAAAACTAATAAAGAGTGTCTGTAAATTAGATTAAACGTAGAATGCAACAAGCGTGGATTCAGAGTTCACTAATATGAGAGAGAGAGAGAGAGAGAGAGAGAGAGAGAGAGAGAGAGAGAGAGAGAGAGAGATGGAGGTATACGAAAAATAATCTTCTTTTCCATCCTTGATTAGAATTGTAAATAAGTATATCATTAAACGTCTGCAGTCTTTGCCTGCTGATATGGGCTGATTCATCGGAGTAAAAAGAATTTAATATGTCCCTATTGTTTTATTAAGAGTTTCAAATTTCAAGTACATAGACTTTCGGTTATCGTGCAATGTCTGCGAAAGTGACAATTTGAAAGCAAGTGAACATTTGTCAAAACAAAAGAATAACGACAAACATTGCAGTCTCTAGTGATAAACAATATTCATGCATTAACAGTGAACCACTATTTTGTGTCCGTGCAATATTTATTTTCAAATATTCAGACTAATTTTAAACAGAATATTTTTAATAAGATCTCATGCATTAATTTTCCTTCATTTTGCTTTATCTGATATAACCGGGTGGAAATGAGTTAAAAAGACTATGGCGAAATGGGAACTTGGCATCTGCAGTTAATTAAATTAAAATCATCATTTAAAAAATGTGTTATTATCACTCCTAAAACGAAATCTATTCTAACCTAGCTAAAACCGATAGGTAAGGACGTCAACTTTAATATATGTGTAATTAAAAACGCAACTAAATCATTTTTAGAAATACATGTATATATATAAATAAATATGAAAATTATGATGATTCATAAAATATTTTGAACATAAGTTTGACTTAGCTAAGACCTAGCTAAGTTCATTTCATGTTACGGTTTAAGACAAATTTAAGTAGTACCTAGGCAGGTCTTAAGATTGCGCCTAAAACATACTTATGACCCTACTTAATAGTAAAAAAAAATCCGGAACCTTTCGGAGAGCCGTGGACAAATTTAATTGTAATCTCTTATTTTATTCTTTACACTTTAATGCTAGTTTTATAAATAGCTTTTTATTTTCTCAATATCGAAACTTGCAGGACGGTCAGGGGTCTTTGGAGCCTTTCACCATATTCAGAGTTAATAAAGAAACAAAATTATGAATTTCGATACACACCCCATTTCAGGAAACACGACCCTTATTAGTAAGGACGTTATATACACGCATGCATGTGAAGGAAAACTGCTTGTTGGTAAAAGTGTTTAACCTCGCCCTTACTCCACCTTTAAGTCCCCCACGAAATATATCTATAATTACATGTACATGTAAATGAAAGTCCAACAAAGTGAAGAGAATTGACCCACTTTATTTTTACATGGTTCTATACGTAGTAGTATAGTCGGTGTTAGAAACATGCATTGCAATTGAATTAAGAAAATTGTAACAATTTTTCATTTAGTCTGAACATAATCTGGTATGACTTATTAAGTTATTTAAAGTTATTTAAAAAGTCATACAAGAATTATACATGTGCTACATGTAGTTAAGGCATCGATCGGTGTGTATTATTTCAGAAGCCCTCCGTAAACTTGTTTCCGTGATTTTTTTTTAAAATCCAGTTCGACCAATTGGTAGAAAACTCGACTCAGCTCAGAGAGACAAGAAGGGCGTTCTAATGAAATTTAAGAAAAAAAAACAACTACATACATGGGAGCAATCTATTCAGCTACTCTTGTTTGTATCTTAATCTGTTGTGTAATTTTTATTTTATCTATGTATCAGTGATCCAGATAACATATTTGCGGAATCAAAATACATTTTCCTCCTTTTTTATGCGGAATCGTAATAAAAAAAAATATTCGAGAAATTGTGACTTATTTTTTGCGAAAAGATATTATCAATATGCGAAAAACGTGGAACACCGCTTCAAAGTGAAGGATTGATGATATCCAACAAGAAGACAAAGGACAAAAAGAAAAAAAAAGGAAAATGTCGTTTTCCTACGCATGTTCAAATGGTTGGGGTTTCTCTCTCTTTTTTGTGGCCCGAATGTAGAAAAGATTTTCGAGTTTAGACAATAGGTTTAGGTTTTTTTCCTGCTTGTCAAACTGTTTTGGAGTCCCCCCCCCCCCCCCTCGCGTTAAAAATCGATTTTTAAGCAGCAAAAAGGAAGACAAAATGACAACACGCCTTATATTAAAATTTCCTATGTACATAACAACAGTTATTTTCTCGGGAGAATAAAAAAACACTAGGGGGCATCCCTGTACCCCTTCGATACTGCATGCTTCAGATCATAGTATTTCCCGGTTTAATATCAAGGCTAGAACGTGACTATAACTTCCTGTTCTATTCCTTATTTGGGGGGAGAGGGAAATCTATGTTCAATTTGGAAGACCATTTATAGAATCTGTGCTGTGTGAGTCAGTAACCTCTAATGCATAATCCCCTTTCAATTATTAAATGGACACATTATATGTGATATGTTTTAAAACCTATATTCGCTGTAAAGAATGGAGGCGTACAGGGCAGGGACCTATATTATAGGTCCCTGGTACAGAGCGCGGACAATCTCCCAGCCTAAAAAAAACACGATTCTCAATTTTGAAAGTTCTTGAAAAGTTACATTTTTCCAAAAAAAATGTATTGTCAATATCATCTTTTACACAGTAGCTTCCTTTATTTTACTGGATAACTTATTGATATTAAATAATTTATTTTTCACCACGAAATCTTCTTGTCATTGATGTGTTTCAGTGTGATTAAAATAAACGAGGTTGTTGAAGCGTATTTTTTCTACAATGTTCGATTTTCAAATAGAATGGGCTCAGACTCCATTTTTTAAAACATAAAGTAAATTTTACATTTACTTTTCGGTCATTTAAAGGTTAATGTAGAAATGAAAACTTGTCCAATTCATTTTCAAAAATCATTTTGTGTGGCTCCAAAAAACCAGTTTTCCACTAAATGCTTTACTGACAACTTTAAAACAAATCATCAACCAATGCCATTTAATAAAATAAATGAATCAAATATGTTGAAGATACCATTCCTGAAAACGTAATTTTAGAAAAATATAACTTTTCCATGAACTTTAAAGATTGAGAAATTTATTATCTCAGAGCGGGGGATTGTCCCCGCCTTATACGCCCCGTTTCTTTTAAGATGTCTTTTAGGTTTCAAAATAGCGTGCATTATAAAACCACCATCGTTATTTTGATCTAACTTTACCATGATATTTTAGTAGGGATATTTCCTAAAGCTGATTGATTGATTGTATGTTGTTTTGTCCCATTCGAGAATTTCCTACGGTTGAAGTCAAGCTTTTATCATTTAAAATTTACAGCATACCACCGACAAACATTTATCTGCTTTTATATACATTGTACATCAGTTTGCATTGGTCTATAATTCTTACTCAATTCGGTCTTCCCCTTAACCCCTTTTTTCCCTATATAACATTAGATCGTTAGATGTGACTAATTCCCTAGAAATCGTTATGAATGGACTAATCCCCGTGCGTTAGTCAAGTGAGCAAATCCCTGCATCAAAAGTTAATTCCCAGTTATCTGTAATCCTCTAGATTTTACTTTTACATTGGTATGATACGTGAATGGACTAATCCCCGTGTGTTAGTTAGTTAGTGAGCTAATCCCTGCTATGAAATCCTGCTATCTGAATCCTCTAAATTTTAAGTTTGTATCAGTGTAATAAAACAGTTAAAAGTATATCACTGCGGAAGTTAGCAAGATTTCAGTTCCTCTCGACCAGGACTATTTCCCTCGGCTTCGCCTCGGGAAATAGTCTTGGCCTTGGGGAACTGGAATCTTGATAACTCCCTAAATGATATATTTTAACTGTATAAGTATCCACCGTTCTGGTCATGAAAAGCATTTCTAGATATTTAATACTGCAAAAGTTATGTAGTTCTATTCTGCAATCTAATGAAAAAAATAAACATATACAAAGAAAATTAAATTTCTGTTTATTTCAAAAATTAAAATCATCACAAATTGTGCTCATTCAAAATTCAGTCAAAATATGATCTATTCATGCAGCTTACATTACATTAGAAATTCAACACATGCATGTTTATCAACAGAGGTTGATATAATATTATATTTAGCATTGTTTTAATACATGTAATTATATACACATCATAAAAAAGTGTCTTTTTATATTATGCTCACACATAGCAAGAGGCTACTCTAACTTACACAATAAGTCAACACTCTTCTAAACTAACTCAACATGAAAACACATAATGAGCTACACTACTTACACACATATTGAGTCACTACACGACTATTACACATAAAAATAACAATATTAGCACTCAAAATGAGCTACACTACCGCAGGTAAAATTCTACATTCCCAACACAAAATGAGTCCCATGCTACATGTAACAACACACAAATCAAAATAACAATACAAATATATGTATTACAAATACCTGTAACAATATTAAAAAACACATTGAGCTATACCAGTAACACACATAAAATTATACATTCCCAACACATGAGTCACCATACTACATGTACAACTCACATGACAAATAACAAAATTACCACACATAATAAGCTACACTACTAACACACATGTCAAGTCACTACAGAACTAACACACATGTCGAGTCACTACACTACTAACACACACGTCGAGTCACTACAAAACTAACACACATGTCAAGTCATTACAGAACTAACACACATGTCAAGTCACTACACTACTTACACACATGTCGAGTCACTACACTTCTAATATATACCTTACAAATAACAATTTTAAATCACACGAGTTATACAAGTAACACATTTAAAATTATACAATCCCACCAGTCACCATATTATATGTACAACACACATAACAAATAACAAAATTACCACACATAATAAGCTACACTACTAACACACATGTCAAGTCACCACAGAACTAACACACATGTTGAGTCACTACAGAACTAACACACATGTCAAGTCACTACAGAACTAACACACATGTAGAGTTACTACACTACTAATATATACAGTAAAGCTTTTTTAATCTGAACACCACTGGTTCCAAAGAAATTAGCTGGATTAGACAACATTCTGGATTAGACAACATTTAAAACAATTGAGTCTACTGCAGGTGACTTAAAGTTAACACTGTATTAGTCAAGATTTTGGAGTACACAACATCCGGATAGGACAAGTTTCACTGTATATTACAAATAACAATATAAGAACATGAGGAGCTTTAACAATAACACACATAAAATTACATATTCCCAACACGTAATGAGTCACCATACTACATGTACAACACACATAACAAATAACAAAATTACCACACATAAAAAGCTACACTACAAACACACATGTCGAGTCACTACACTACTAACACACATGTCGAGTCACTATACCACTTACACACGTCGAGTCACTATACCACTAACACACATGTCGAGTCACTATACCACTAACACACATGTCGAGTAACTACACTTCTAATATATACATTACATATAACAACATTAAATCACATGATGAGCTATATCAGTAACACACATAAAACCAGAAGTCTGTGAGCCAATGCTCACTGGTAATACCCCCACTGTGATATGAATATACACTATCATGTGAATATACACAAGTTCAGCTATGGACAGATGCACATATAAACAGGAAGTTGACATCAGATTCATACAAAAATGAATCCCACCATATGACAATTATGCCTCAACAAAGAGTGTGCTAAATTTCAAGCATCTGCAATGAGTTGTTGCTGAGAAAACTTTGACAAAAATTTGTTCCATATTATACAGACAGACGCACAGTTAAACAGGAAGTTGACATCAAATTCAGAAATTAATCCCATTATATGGCATGCCTAAACAAATAGTGTGTAAATTTTCATGCATCTGCAATAAGTAGTTGATGAGAAACTGCAACAAATATTTGTTATATATGGTATAGACAGACACACAGATAAACAGGAAGTTGACATCAGACTTGTACAAAAATAAATCTCATGTTATGGACAGACAGATAAACACACACACAGCTAGACACACAAGGGTAAAACAGTATCCTTCAGAGCAAGAATATAAAATTATACATTCCCAACACATGAGTCGCCATACTACATGTACAACTCACATAACAAATAACAAAATTACCGCACATAATAAGCTACACTACTAACACACATGTCAAGTCACTACAGAACTAACACACATGTCAAGTCACTACAGAACTAACACACATGTCAAGTCATTACAGAACTAACACATATGTCAAGTCACTACAGAACTAACACATATGTCAAGTCACTACATTACTAACACACATGTCGAGTCACTACATTACTAACACACATGTCGAGTCACTACAGAACTAACACACATGTCGAGTCACTACACTACTAACACACATGTCGAGTCACTACACTAATAAAATATACATTACAAAAAGCAATATTTACACACATTATGAGTTATACCAGTAACACACATAAAATTATACATTAATTCCCAACACACGAGTCACCATACTATATGTACTATCATACATGTATAACAAATAACAAAATTACCACACATAACGAGCTATACTACTAACACACATTTCAAGTCACTACACTACCATTCATATAATGATATATATAATTGAGGTCATATAAGGAGTCAATACATTTACAATAGAGTCAACATGCTCCTAAAACACACTAATATTAGGTCGTTATAGCACTTGTTACATGTACTTGCACTTGAATCACTATTATGACAAAAGAATTCTTTAGATGTATGTGTAGTTGTTATTTAATCTTTGTCTAGCTGTTATGATATTTTAACAGCAAATTTTATACTCTTTCCTGCAAATTCAAAGATTGTTCTGCTTTCTGGAGGGGCATTCGAACACTTCAATTGACCATGATCAAGTCATACTGACTTATTCCACTCCACATTGGCATTCTATGGCTGTTTTTCTTTTGTCCACACATTCTTAACAAATGGAACTGAAATACATATATAATAGAACCATTAAAACTTTTACATAAAAATGAAATAAAAATATATCAGTGATCAAGTTTCCAATCTTAATTAAGACACAACAACACTTCTTTAAAAGCAAAAGGACAAGAATAAATTTTAAAATTAAAATTCCTAAAACAGCTAGTTAACATTTTGTGTATTTGATTTGTATTAAATTATTATATCCTTTAGAACATGTTAGCCTTTTGAATTATTGTAAATGTATAATATTTAGCATGTACGATATTTGGCGGAAGTTGATTATTGAGCAAGTTAGCGGGGATTTGATTTAGAGCATTTGTTAATGTTCTTCTTTATGTGTATTTGTGCAAGACATTTAGCGTTGTACTTGAATTAGCGGACATTGCTTTCCGACAAAGGCACTAAAAAGAATACACAGCGAAATCTAATACGTTGACAGTATATTCACAACTTAACACTTTCTGAAATTTTGGGTTATCCTTTTCTTTTGCCCTTGCCTTTGGTTTCCTATCAAGCTTTCCAGTTTAAAGTGCCAAACTTTAATCTCATCTTGTTCTATAATTTACATATCAAAAAGTTGGAATCTTTATAGTTAAGACTATATAAGTACTCACAGAATACATGCATCTAAACAAATAAGAATTTTTTTTGTATCCAAGCAAGTCACTTAAAAGAATATTATAAATGAAAACATTCAACAAGCTACACAATTTAGATTCATTTAGCTTTTCCTGTATATTTATCTGTCTCTCATTAGTAACATATATTAATAAATGGAGTAAAATGAAAGATCTAATTATGTTCCCCAAACGAAGTTTGGGAACATATTGTTTTTACTCTGTTTCTTATTATTATTATTATTCTTTTTTTCTACTTTCTTCTCCGGTACTTTTTTGTCCGGGAGTGTTCTCATAGAACCACTCATCCGATTGACATGAAACCTTTTTAGGGTTAATAGGCATGTTGTGTAGGTGTTCGGAATGAAGGTCATTTTGCGCGCACATGCATGCATGTGCGTGCGCGTGCAATGAGTGAAATGACTGATATACTTGATGAAGCCGTAACTTTTGTATTTCTTGATGAATTGCTTTGAAACTCAAAATATAAAGATATATTAGTAGTCTAGACAAGATAACATGGTCAAATTAGCATGAACTCACGCGCATGCACGTGCGCTCTTCTCTGATTGGCTGATACAAAAATCTCAATAATTTCCTTGTTTTTTGACAAAATACTTTGAAATTTAGAATATAAGTATATATTATAAGATGCTACAACATGTTATATAGGAAATTTCTTGAAAACACGCACATGCAGGTGTGCTGCAATCTGATTGGTTGAAACTTTAAATGTCTATAACTCCCTTGGTTTTCAACAAAACAGGATGAAATTTACGACATGGATAGGCACATAGAGCTCATACAATATGATACTATCAAAATTGAATGCAAGGCCATGCATGCGCGTATGCTGATTTCTGATTGGCTAATACTTGAAGGGTTACATCTCTCTTATTTTTCAATGAAATTCTTTGATATTTAACACAAATGTATGTATTGTGAGACACTATAAGAAAATTAATGTGCAAAATGCAGAAAACATGTGCAAGCACATGCGCTGAAATTTGATTGGCTAATACCCATATGGCTATATCGGAGTAGTTTTCCAATGAAATACCCTTAAAAATAAAGTATCCATTTATATTACAAAAGTATTGTCTAATTTATTGAAGCTTGTAGGGAATGGGGCATTATAAGGGATTGGGGAGCCGTTTGGGGAACATCTGTAACGGTTCCCGTTACAATTAGCACTAGTTTTAATTACACTAAAAGTCTACCAAGTAACAGTAATATGTAATAATTAATTTTACATGTTTCATAATGTGCATAAGGAGATGGGTGAACAAGGCATGAAAGCCTATAGCTTCAAATGTATAAAAGTCATATTCAAATACTGAGTTTAGTATTTAGAGTAAAGCTCTTCTTATTGAAAGGTATAACATTATATTACAAACAAAACTTTTCTGTGGAAAATTCTTTAAGCAAAAATCATTCTATGATAAAAAAAAAAAAAAAAGTGGTATTCTTGGGGTTCAAACCCAAGCAATGAAATTAAATCCTGAATATCAGTTTTTTTTTCTTAGAGACTAACATGCTAACCACTACACTACATACATGTAGCTCATGACAAAAATGGGCATTTACATATGTAAATCACGTTTAAAAATGTGGCTCTTGACTAAATGGATTTCAAATATTTCTCTGAAAGATATGCTGGGTTTGACGCTAAGGCACATCTGACTAACCCAGTCTAGTAAATGCATGGTCCAGTCGTGTTAAATGTTCAATAACTAGCCCGACTGGTCATGTGGATGAAATAAATGTTAACCCTCATTTCAGTCTTTCAAATAAATGCTCTAAAAACTTTAAATTTAAAGAAATTTTCTTAATTTTCCAATTGCAAACACAGCCATTGCTCTGAAAAAGAAAACTTTCCTGCATGACACAATTGCTATTTTTTGAGACCAGCTGTAATAGACAAGTCACAATCGAAACCTAAGCTTTGTTCAGTATCATTTGGTACAAATATTCATTGAATAATATAGTTTTTAATTTATTTACGTGTATATTTATGGTAATAATTTTATTTAAGTTCCTTGAATTAATGTTCTTTAAAGCTTATAACATTCGCATGTTCACTCATTGGGCTGCTACCTATGGGCTCAACAGTCTGTCAAAATGTATACATGAACACATGGGAGAGATACACTGTAGTATGGTTTCGAAACTTTTTTTTCCATTATAATAGCAGGTTATAAATAGAAAATTTTCAAGTTTGGTCAGGGCTAGTGATTTTATGGTCAGAGCTAGTAAAAATTATGGGAAGTAGCCCGACTGGTCTTGTACTCATAAAAGTTAATGTCAAACCATGATATGAATGTTGTTGTGACATAAAAGTCTATTTTTTAGAAGAGTTGGTCATTTCACCATGTTTTACGAAAAAGGAAAAGTTTTGAATATGCTTCGAGTATAATCTTACCAAAATATGGAGTAAAGACCTACTCATATTTAAAAAGTATGAAATAGGAGGAAAAAATGACCATTTTTGCAATCTTTTGGTGTGTATCTGCTATTTCATAGATCAATAATATTAATCTTTATAAGATTGTAACAAATTGCAAAGATTTTACATAAAGTATACATTAATGTTACCTGAAATATCAAAGAAAATTTTGACATGATTAAGATTTAACTTTTTACATCTTTTTTTGTCACACAATAGGCATTTACTTGCCTTGTTTGCCCATCATCTTTATAAGTAGATAAGGTTTATGATTCAGAGGGCATCTGATAATCCATCAATAAAATGTAAAATGATAGAAATAACTGCACTATGCTCACTTTTTTCCTCCCAGAGCTCTTCTTTTCATCTTCAATTTCTTCCTCTTAATTTCCCTCAACTTTTTCTTCTATTGCAAGTTCTGTAAAAAAAAAAATCCAAATCAATAAACTACTAAACTGACAAAAACTCAATTTGTCAATTTTCGGATTTTACCAGATTCATGAAAAATCTTGGCATACTGAACCTTTCTAGTGATTTATCTGAGGAAAGAGTGGTTAGTAACTTATTCATTTTCATGTACCTGCTTGACTTTGACAGAAACATTTTGGTACTAGAATGTGAAATACATACTTTCGTTATTACCTAAAATATTTCCATGACCTCAAATTCACCTATATTTCTTGCTGCTATTAAAGCCTTGTCAAGAAATAACATGTTTCCCCTATAACAGGCATCAATTAACAAGGTTATGATTCAAAGTTTCAAAGTGTGCAGCTTGATTCACACAAAAGAAAAAAAAACTTGACTGAACAGATTTACAAGTACTTGCAAAGAAGACTAGAAATATATCTTGATCGACATTTTCAGCCTAAGATAAAGTCAAGGCATAGTCATGTAACATGTAACATTTTTCATGATGAATTACCTATATACAGTCCAATCTCATTTTCTTAAACTAGATGACTCCTGGGTTCCAGTAAAGAGTACTCAAATACCACTTAATCATACAGTGAAACCTGTGTAATCCGACATGCACTGGGAGACAAATTTTTTGTCGGAATAGATAGGGTGACGGATTGCTCAGTGTAAAAAAACATAGAAAAAAGTAAAATGGGAATGAAATTTAACGTTGGAATTTACAGTGTGACGGATTGCACAGGTGTCAGATTAGACAGTTTTCACTGCACAATCATATAATTATGGAGATAACGAACAGTAATCAAGCTCAAGAGTCTATAGAAAAAAATACAGAGCAAACAAGGACCACTAAAAACATCAGAGGTGGGATCAGGTGCAATATAGGAGTAAACATCCTCTGCCAATCAGTCATATTTGATGTGTGCTCCTTGTCATGATCGGGAAAACGGAAAAGTCTGTAGACAATTCAATGTGTAAACAGACAATTCAATGTGTAAATAATGGCCAAACAATTAGTATTAAAAACATCAGTCCGCATTCAACTTACATGTAATGATAGATTGTTTTTGCTGACAAGGTCATTGTATCAACCATAGCTAATTACAAACATGCAAGTCACTACATCCAGTCAAAGTTGATGTTTTGATATTTTTTCTCAAAATATTTATGAAAGAATAAGATAAGTACATGGTAATTTTGTTGACTTGAAGAAATACATTGATGGGGAAGGGGGGGGGGGGGTATTGTGATAATAATTACCTAGTCCTTTTTCATTTTGCCTTTTTCTTTATTTCTTTCCCTTTCTCTTCCGTTCCACCCTCTGGCTCATTATCTTCCATCACTTCATCCCCCTGAGAAATGGTTTCCAGTACAGATAAAGTGGTTGATGAATGACTTACTCAAAATTATGGACCCATGATATAGTTGTTGTAATAATGTTACATGACACACACTGCAAGTCACTGTGCCCTGTAAAAATTGTTACATTCTTCATTTATATTTAAGGATCAAGAACTAAATAAGAATTCATTCTTAAGTTTTACAAAAAACTATATAAATCAGGATTTGAGAGGGCTTTGTAAAAATACTGTGAGATACATAATGTAATAACCTTGTCCTTTCTTCATCTTGTCCTCCTTGTTCTTCAGCTTTTTCTCCACTTCCTCATCTTCTTCATTAAATCTTCCCTAGTAGCTGCTTCTAGTAGAAATAAATACCAATAAAATAAATAAAATATATCTTGACTCAAGAAACAGCAATGGTTACACATATTATAAAAAAAAGTACATTCTTAGAATATTTGTGAAGAACTAAATAAGTATTTTAGCTAATTAAAGTAAAAGACATTCCTATCAAATAGAAAACAAGAAGTCTGTGAGCCAATGCTCACTAGTAATTATAATTCCCGCACTGATTTGAATTTGGTATGGACAAGCACAGGGATAAACAGGAAGTTGACATCAAATTCATACAAAAATGAATCCCACCACACGGCATGCCTAAACAATTTAAAAGTGTGCTAAACTTTCAAGCATCATCCTTAATAGTTGTTGAGAAAACTGTGATGGAAATTTAGTACGGACAGATGGAGGGATAAACAGGAAGTTAACATCGGATTCCTACAAAAATACATCCTACCATATGGCATGCCTAAACAGAGAGCGTGCTAAAATATCAAGCACCTTCGATGAGTAGTTGCTGAGAAAACTGCAAGAGAATTTTGGTAAGGACATGGATATAATAAATATGACTAATTTAAATCATGTTTCTGTTGTTCCATATAAACTTTGATCCTCTTCTGTGGCCCTACCCTACCCCTAGGGGCCATGAATTGAACAAACTTGAATCTACACTACTGGTATTTCAGGAAGCTTTCAAATACATGTAAATTTCTCAATTAATGAAAAATTGGTTACTTTCACTGGGTTAAATTTTCATGATTTGAGGGGATTTAATTTGTGGTTGAAAAAAAAAACATATGACACCATATCATAAAATTTCGATATTTGGTTTCACTACAATGTATACTAGTAGCTTAAGACTGGAGGTTTTTTTTTATTTTGCCTACCATGAAATGAGACCTTGATTTTTAAGGTTTCATTTAAACATGCATCTTTCACTTCTAGAGTCACAGCTTTGTAATCGAACAATCTCATTACCTATTTCAAACATCTTGGATTGACAAGGTGCTAGGAACAAGAATTGAACAGGGACCTATTGATTATAATGCGAGTACCGACAACAACTACCATCTAGGCTACTGTGATTTGTCAGTTTCAGGAATTAAGATAAGGGATATTAATAATGAACACTTAAGTAATTATTGCAAAAAATAAAGTCTAAACATTTGGGAAAGATTATAAATTCTAAATTAATTCTCCTGATTTAGTTAAAAGTTTTTGTTAGAGACTGATAAAGGAGACTTAAATTTTCAATTCAACTTTTCAGCATGATGTTTTATACAGTGTAAGCATGGCCTGACTAAATATAAGCCTGAGATTTTCTAATGTCAGGGTTAGACACTAATGCTAGTTAGCACTTAGCAGGTAGTAAGGTAATTCTGAGTCAAGTTGGCACTCAATTTTACGACTGACTGATGTGAAATTAAACATTTTAGTGATTATGATTTAGTCCTGTACAAACAATTAAGGTGGATTCCGCCCAGAATTTCGTTGGATACCAAGGGTATTCCACCGAATCCACAAATTCCAGGCTCTCAGAGATTCTGCCTAAATTTAACAGATTCCAGTCATCAAATTCTAGGCTGAATTTAGTTCGGGGGAAAATAGCTGGAAATTATAAAAAGAAATACTTTGGACAGTTGAAACGGAATCTATATTCAGACGAATCCTGTTATTTCAATTCTAAGTGGAATTTCAATTTCCATGCAGGCAGAATGTCAATTTCCAGGCTGAACTAATTTACATTTTCGCATCAAATTTCCAGCTAGTCTCCACTTGGTTAATGCTTGGTCTCTGCTTATATTGCTTTAACATTTATAGTAAGTTTTACGCCTGGAATTTTACTGAGAATTCTGTCTTGATTATGCCTTTTTTCCAGGTGGAACATTTTGTACAGGGTATGATACATAAAGAAAGATGTCAAACGTTTTGAGTGTAATGAACGAGATCAGGAATATGTTCATACTTCCTGCATGATCACGAGATTTTAAAAAATCTTTGGAATAAAACACTTCAATCAATCATGTACTTTCAAAAAACTATAAAAAGTACATTGTAATGTTTATTTTTAAATAAATCATTACAAAACACTGATCTTTCCTTTTTTGACGGACTCATGTGAAGTAGTAAAAGAAGGACATGTTTGTTGAAACACCCTGTATTAAAGAGATTTCAACGCTTATGTACATGATGTATTTGTTTAATCATTCATCCCACCCCAAACAAAATAAGAAGCTTTTTAAAACAATTCTACTTACGCATTAAAAGTACTGCCATCTTTTTTCTACTGGTGAAGATTCAAGATATAATTAAATGGGTTTAATTTGTGTTTACTGGCCAATAGTTTTAAACACCATCTGCCGGAACCTTGAAGTTTTCCTGTATCACCATGAACCTAAAAAAATTGATGTTATATTTCAGTATCACAAAACATCCATCCTAAAACATTCATAGACAGACATTACACACACACAAACTTTCCACGTTCCCTTTATGTTCATAATTTGAATCATAAATTATGGATTTGCTTCATCTTGCACTGATTTAAGTCCCAACATTGTTTAGTTAAATAAATAATACAGGTAAAAAGCATGTTTTACTGACCATGCTGACAAATAATACATTAGACAAAATTAATACATGTATCGATCATGCTATCAATAAAATATGAAAAATGTGTGCATTTTCACACACACTTGAGTGTAAGTTGACTGACTGCTTCCAAAGAATGTACATGTCCTCATTCATGTAATCCTGTTCCATGAAAATAGTTTTCATTCATACCCCTTCATAAAATGACACATGCATGTCACTTACATACTGCAAGACCCTGTCGGCCTGTGTACATTGAGTACACTACTTTCACTTTGAACTTGAACTTGACTGAATACCGATTTCGACCTCGTTTGTGAATTTTTGTGTACATATTGAATCCTTATGTAAAAATATATTCAACTTAGCTTTGAATTAATAAATAATATAAATTGACACATTAATTGAATTTATTCGCTACATACATGTAACTGTAAACAACAGGATCGAGGTATGAGAATTAGCTGTATGTTCATAAGGGGGGGGGGGGGGGTACTCCCATATGAAACTGTCTGGGTTTAAGGGTCTGGTTTTGTGTTCATCCAAGTGAAACTCGTACGAAATAAAAATCTCAATATTTTAATAAATACTTCTTGCTTACTCTTGAAAACTGACCTATGACACCTTCCATTGGAAAGCTGTCTTGACATGTATGCAGTTTGATTGTCACTTGCAGTGTCATGCAGCAATAATGTGCATATTACACTTGCAGGACTGCACAGCTACAGGTCTAACAGAACAATAACATGACATTTGTTGTATATGTGCAGATAGTTGAACGTCATGGGTACAACTATTTGTTTCGTTCCTAACAATACTGTGCGTACTTTTTCCATAACTGTCTGTTTTTCATCAACTAGGCATGTCCGCCATGCGAAATCGGGGGGCTGCCATTCCGGTATTGAAACCAACTGACTATTTCTGTAATCTGATGTCTCTAGTACCTCGATTACACAAAGCAATTAGAGAGATATTTCGTTAAACATCTCCAGCTATTAGAATGTTTCGATCTAAATGTTTAATATTGTTTATTATAAAAGTAACATCGATGTTTACCTCATATCAGGGAATGCTCCGTCTTCGATTTTACAATGGACAGATAAATTAATACGCGCCCAGTTTTAGCAGTTCCGACTGAAATAACGTCTGTTATTTCTTTTGCAGGTAAGGCTGTTAATTACCTTTTATCAAATAAGCATATTAATCCTACAAATGTAGGACAATGTCATATAATATTGAAAAATATTGCACGAAAATTAAGAACTATAATCACTCAGCGTAGTTTATTTCTGAGGTCTGTCATGCGATATTCGGCTAAAGTGAAAGTAGGAGCTGGTAAGTCGATTTGTTGTGTTTATTGTGATTTATGAGCCTTATCTCAGAAATACGATATAACTCCTAGTATCAGTAATACATTTTGAGTATGACAACGCCTGCGATCTAATGCACATCAATTTTAAAAAGGTTAAACGTTACACAAAGGATCTGAGAATTTCCACGTGTTTCTTGCAGACCACAATTTGGTAGCGGGCAATATTTAAGGTTCCTCTAATAAATGTTACTATGTTTCAAAATACTAAAAGTATTCGTCATTGTATAAAAATATAGTTCAGTCAAAAACAGGGTTTCAAATATTATGAGTAGAGTAAAGAACTGAATTTTGTTTTCATTATGAGCGATTTTTGTGTAAGATCCTTCATCAGGTCCGGCACAATCTCTTGATTAAGCTAATATATAGCTTGATTTAGTAGGGGTGCAACGATACACTAACCTCACGGTACGATACGTATCACGGTATTCAGTTCACGATACGATACGTATCACGATACATGACAAGGTTAAAAAGACTTTCAAGTTTGTCATATTTTTTTTAAACTTGACAGGGTTATATCATAAAATGTTCATATTTTTTTGATAATAATTAAAATAAAATTTTGTTAACTTGCATTGGATTGTTGGGTACATCTTTGAGTTTTGACAATATTCTAAACCAATGATGAACATTTACAGGGAACTACGGGGACCTTTCCTTATAATCTTCCTTTTAAATTGGAATGAAAAAGGAAGACATTCATTCTTTTATTCCTTTTATTTACGTAGAAAACCAGTTGTCATATTTCTCGTGTTAACACGTTTTAGTCAACAAGACAGTGAATTTTCATCGAAATACACACGTGATGAAATATCGTGTATTACCAAAGAATACATTTAGATCTAAAGGATTTATCATTTGTCTTAACATCTATAACATATAGTCACATTAAGTCCTTCTCAGTGTTAAATCTGAGGTCTGTAAGATGCTGGAGATGAGTTTAACTTCCGTTAATGCGTTATATTGGCGACCTCACGTTTTGCGCGGAAGCCATTTTGAAATTGTAAAAAAGGAAACAAAACGAACGATTCGGATAATTCTGGACCATGGAACCGAACCGCGATATCAGTTTAGCGTATTGTGAATTGAACCGTGGAAAAATATGCCGCGATATACCGTCAAACGGTTTATCGTTGCACCCTTATGATTTAGCTATATAGCTTTATTAAGCTATTCAAAATAGCTTGATAAAGCTATTTATATGCAGGTTTTCACAAAAATTTTATTTATACAAAATAGACAAAAAGTCGCAAATATTTGACTATTCATTATGTACTATGGGTTATCAAATCAATAACCCAAATCAAAGATAGTTCTAACATTGCAGCATTTGAATACTTTTAAGCAAAAGATGAATTTCCATTGTTTGGGTAACTTTACACTACCTTGTGTGCATTGAGGCATGGATAAGTGTGATTGCTTCTCATTGTACTGAATTATTACCAATCAATTATCTTGTTGACCATAATTGGCCTCCTTTATAATTTCATTGAAGAGGTAACAGTATCAATTGCTTAATATAGCCCCAAAACTTTTAGAACTTTGAGTACAAAGTCTCTTAAGGAGACGCAATTTGATGAGTGATTTTTACATGCATTATTTTCATAAGAGTTCAAGGTTGAATATTATCACTGCACCAAGGTGCGACTTTTTGTGCATACTTGGAAAATAACACATTTGAGAAAAAAGTGTGATAAAATAGCTAAATCAAGCTATTCTGAATAGCTTAATAAAGCTATATAGCTAAATCAAGCTATATAGCTTAATCAAGATATTGTGCCGGACCTGTTCATTGAGCCTCAGACACACCAAGTTAAATGTCCAATGACGGCTAAGTGAAGGCTCTACGTAGTACACATATATGGTAAATCAGATGTGTTATTTGTAAATCAAAATTTTGATATTCAAATTTTATTGCTTTTTTGTTTTACTTTTTGTAAAAGAGATGCAAGTATTATTGATTATTTATATAAATAATTTTCACATAAGTTTGTACTATGTATACAAACCATCATTTTGGACTTGGTCCTTCTGATTTGCAGATTAGTGCAGTATATGTAGTTCTCATGGGAAAAAGTAAATTAAACGATAAAAATTTTCAAGGACGTCAACTTAATTTGCTTATTGCTTGATATGTAAATTGTTCAATGTTCATCAAATGAAGAGACTGCAGCAAAATTGAAAAATAGGTTTTTTTAAAGATGAAAATTGCATAAAGTATTAATAATTAATATTTTCTAGTTGAAATGGTTAAGATTGAAAACTTGAATTTCTGCAACGGCATTGGTTTCATCAAAAAGGGAGTATAATAAGGGGGTCTTACCTGATCTTAAGTTACCATTGAGCATGCTGAATCAAATGCTACCAAGCATGTTTATTTTTAATTGAATGTTCACTTTATGAAAGTTTTTCATATGCTCAATTAGACTTAGGTTGTTGGTTGCACTTGTAAGGAAGAGATAAGGTGCTGGGGGTGGGGTGGGGGGTAAACCTTGGTATTGATCCATAAATACCATAATATTCTTGTAGAAACCTCTAAGATTTTTTCTATAAAATTGGAAAAAAAATGAATGTACATGTAGCCACCACTTTATCTCAAAGGTTATTATTATTATTATTTTTTGGAGGACCTGCATTTTAATGGTACAGGCAAACCTTGTTACATTGTATTTCTATCCTGATGGGACAAATAAAAAAAATTAAGAAATCTGGTATAGTTTGACACATTGAGGTTAAAATGCTTAAAGAAAAAAATGGAAGAGACTTTAAATGAAATATGAAGATAACAAACAATAATCAAATTCAAATTCACATAATTTTGAGAGATGGAAGCAAAACTCTATTCTTACAATGTCTCATAGAACAAAAGTTTTAACGGACACAGTTTCAGGAAATAAATACCATTCAGTTAAAACACTGACACCCTTCAACATGTTCAACAAAGATTAATATTAATATCTAGATTTAAAAGAATTGTTTTTGAACTTTTTTCCTAAAATTTATTATAACTATGTTTACCATGTTTACAGAATGCCTTGTTTCACAAAAAAGAACACTGTTCAGATATTTTCTCTGGACTGTCAATTTCTGCATTTCATAATCATGTGATACCTGTGTTGGAGCCCTCCCAAAAACCTCCCCTGTAAGGTGAGTTTTATATCCCATTGAAATGATTCTGTAAATTTAATAGACATGTGTATAAGGGTATAAGGTAGGTGTTATAATCACAGTGAGCTGACTAGTCATTTTCATTTTGTATGATTGGATTCAGATGTTATTCTATGTGTACAGAATGAAAGAATGTACAATTTTTATGATGAGAAATATATATGCGGTTGGATGAAAAGAAAGATTTTGTTTGAGTGAATGTTGTTTATGTGTCCATTACATTGTCTCAAGCCATGGTTGGAGTCCGCCTACAGCTCTCTCCTACCCGAGGCTGCTTGAGTGAATTAAGTATCGTTATCATGAATAATCAAACCTTATGTGTGATGTCACGTTATAACCCAATAAAAGTAATTGTTTATATTGCAGTTGACTTTAACGATAAAAAAACAAATGTTAGGTAAACAGTGCCTGAAAAAAGAAGTCACATCAGAGGTTATTTTTAAATAATTGAAAACTTCAATCTCTTTTGGAAGGAACTGTTTCTGATTATCTTCTTGTAGCTTACTAACACACATGTCATCATATCAGGTTTTTAAAATTCTGCCATCAAATCCTTACCTTGTCATTTAACCTTCAGATTTTGTACTTGTTTGCTTTATTTAATTATGATCTTATATGCTTGTCTCATCTACTTCCCAAGGCAAGATGACATGACCATCACTTGGGTTTACCTTAATTGATCTTATTTATGGTTGATCTCTTTGTATACAGATTAGACTCATATATCTCTATATGGATTAAACTACTCTGATCTACACTAATTGTAAATTAAAATAAGATATATTCAGTCCAACAATCAGTGTTAACCAACATTTACAATGTGACCATCATTGCTGAGGGATGTGTAGCCTTTGACCCTGAAATTTACATGTCTGTCTTAATTTGCATGCTTTTTACTTAGTCATGATGTAAAGATTTAACTTTCAATTCAAGTTCCCTCTTTGAGAGTGATCAACAGTATTGTTTTTTTAGTGGTATATTATAAATAATTTATATTTAATATTTTACAGATTTCAAAGTTAAGGAGATCATTCAAATGACAGAGGTTTTGGTCCATCTTGGTTTGTCTCAACAGTTAATCTTTTGGAAAGCAGTGTTGGAGAAAATATCAGCAACATGTGAAGACTGTGATTTAGTTTCATATGATATAACTAAAGAAAGTTAATATTTTTGATTCCATGGTTGTATGAACAAATGCTTTGAACTTTCCAAACATCATTGAAAAAGAACATATGATGACCAAACAAAAATACATATTTGAACTTTCCATGAGTTTACAATGAAGAACATTTTGGGATCTTGATACAGGATATTATTGTGTTTAGTGTTTTAGTGTTTTATCTAATTTATTCATATTGTTTAGTGCATTAAGGACATACGCAACGTACCTTACCTACTGATACTTTTTTGAGATATTCTTAATTTAAGATTATAGTGCTATCAGATGTTCGTAGACAAAAAATCAGCATGCATTACCAGGGGTTTTGAAAAGATATCAATTGATGAAAATTCTTGTATAATTCAAAGAAAAATATACAAAAATTA